GCTTGATTATTAAATGTTCTAATTATTAAATTTTTTTTTTTTACCATCCCATAAGAATTGAAAGTTGAAGAACAAGACTACATAGGCCTTATATATATATGATGATAGACTCATTCGTGATAATTTTTTTCCTCTCACTTGTCTCAAAACACGATAATTGAATTTTTTTTTCTACAATCGAATAAGGCATGGTGTCATTCGCTGGGCAGAAAAGCCCGCCCTGCCCACCCGTCCTTGCCCTGCCCAAAATGGTTAGGCTTCTACTGGGCAGGGCCGGGCAGCGGGCTTGCAAAACGCAGCCCGCTCATCTTTCGGGCTGGGCATCGGGCAAGGGGTTTGCCCTGCCCAGCCCTGCCCATGTGCAGCCCTACCTCTCCTAACAGAAATTCAAATTTTGATTTATCACATTATGAGGGACTTGTCCCTTCTGCTAGATACAATCTCCCATCATAACATGTGACCAATATAAGAGGGCAACTCTCCTTATAACACAGTATTTTTAGTCTCTAAAAATTTGAGTACTTGATCTTATTTAAAAGATGCGTCTTTTCCACTTGACTAACCACGACTGATCAATCAAGCCATTTCATGCAAATATGAATATTATTCTGTTTGAATTTCATGGGCCATTAATTCTTTCAACATTGTCAACCAGAATAAGAACAAAAAATAAAAAGTCAGAGATGAAGATCAAGTTGGGAATTTTATGGCATATATAGCTTGGATAAGGTTTATATTAATTAATGGAAAACTTACTTCCTAACTCCCAACTACTACATGCGTGCCCTTCATAGCTCTTCCTTAACGTGGGGACTGTATTTATATATAGAGTACACGAATAGTTATCAACCATCACACATCCTTTAGTTGTAAGAAACTCATCAAATGGCTTTCAAGTTGCCCTTTCTTATTCTTCTTGCTTTCTTTGCTCTTTCAATACTCCTTATCTCCTCTGAGGTAGCAGCTAGGGACTTGCCTAGGTCTTCCTCAAATCATGGTGAGTTCGAGCATTTAACATCTCTTTTGCATTTATGAAACCAAACTCTTCTCATATACTTACATTGTATCACGTAAAATCACTTAAAATAAGCTAATTCTAATAACAAAGACGTTATAGGAATGTTGTGTTTTCTCAACATTTTCAAGTGAATAAATTTTATATTAATTTTAATTTCTTATATTGTATCATCACTTTTAACGTTCAGAGTTAAAATTTATATTTTTCTTCTTCTAGAACACACACACACACGTTGTTTTGCAGCATCATACATAGCACTTTTACTACGAGTAACAACATGGCATGGCTTCATAAAACATATGAAAAAACTCCCATAGTATATAGTCTAAAAATGCAAGTGTTTACTCAATTTATATATCCGCAGCTGAGGCAAAGACAATGAAACATGGAGAGGCAGATGATGCTAAATACGGTTATGGAGGTTACCCAGGGCGTGGTGGGTATTATGGCGGTGGTTATCCTGGCCGTGGTGGCTATGGCGGTGGCTATCCTGGTCTTGGCGGCTACAGAGGTGGATACCCAGGCCGTGGCGGCTATGGTGGTGGCTATCGAGGAGGATATTGCCGATATGGATGCTGTGGCGGATGGTACGAAGGAAGCTGCAGAAGATGCTGTTATTACGCTGGTGAAGCTGTGGATGCACAACCAAATACTGAAACTCATAGCTAAGACATACAACTATGTGTTTCTTTTGTGTCACTATAGAAGTTTGTTTTTATGTTAGTCGTGGGACCATTCTCTCTTGGGAATGGAGTTTCAGGTCTCACGTCGAAGTTTAATGAGTGTGCCATCTCTACGTAAAGTATTTGTATAATATGTGTGAGAGATTGCTTTTAGCAATCTATAATGAAAGATATGATAATAAGTGGGAGGTTTCCCTTCCTCATCACTAGGCATGCACTAAATTGTTATCAATAATTGCATATTATCCTATGGCCATGTTTGGTACGCAGCACTGGAGGCACGGGACAGGGGTTGGGATAGGAAATCAGTCAAATAAGCATGTTTGGTAAGTGGTATTAAAGAAGCCCAAGGACTGCACATTACCACATAGGTGGGATTGGGCAAACCCACCTCCCCCCTGGTATTGCATTTTAAAACCTGGGATTAAAAATTTTGAAGACAAAAATATCCTCACTTCTAATAAATTTTGGACAAGTTTAACCTTCTTACATTTGCCCTAATTTATTCTTCTCTTGCATCGTTCTGAAATATTTTGCTGACCTCCATAGCCATCTTCACACACGCTCTCGACCATCGCTCGTGCCGTCGCCCTCGGAGTTGCTCCCGGTCACTCTCTTTGTACAATCCTCTTCAACGACTAGTAAGATAAACTCTATCCCTGTTTTTTTTTTGGCTTCCATCATCAATTTTTTTTTTCAATCTTCTTTGATTGACAAATTCTTTGCCAGCCATATTCAGTAACGGTTGGCTTGTTAAAGCCATTGTTGTTGGTCGAAGAATTATATATGATTAAGAGAAGATGATGAAGAATATGATTACATATATGTTATTTATGTAAAATCTTAAGATGATCTAGCCAATCGATTTCATCTCCAAGTCGTTTTGTTCTATTAGGTATTGATTGATAAATCTAATATTGCAACTTGATGCAAACTCATCGCTAACGTTCTCTTCATATTTCTTCTTATTGTGATATTTCGATTGTTGCAATTTAATTAACCATTAGAAGGCTTTATAATTCTAATTGTTAAGCCCAGTTAGATCCACCTTGAATACATAGATACGGCTTGTTTCTCCAACCACACTAATCTTATTTCCTCCGTTTTCTAATCCCTTTGATGTTCTTTTCTTCCTGACTTTTCATTTAGCCCTTTCTTTTTGTCTCTTACATCGCCGTTCACATATATACAAGCCGAATTTTTATTTTGTTTTCTTTTGAGGCTTGCTGGAGAATTCTGAGAGAACATTCCGTGGATTTTCAACGTCTCTCTGCACTTATTTCAGTGCGCATGTATATAGCATATCTCTACATCCTTTCACAATAGTACTCTGCATATATTCTTAACTCATGTTACAGATAATCATAAACATATATATATATATATATATCAAAGTCATATTTTCAATTCAAATCATGTGACATCGTATCCTTGTGATTTGAAGATCAAGAGAAAATTTAGAACAGATCGACCTGCAATCTACGAAAAATAAATCAACATACATTTAGGAAAAATACATGTTTGACAATCTACATAGTACTTACGTACTATTAACTAATATTATACTATGAAAACAGATTTTCTGTGAAGGTTACAAAGTGCTGTGTGTCTCTTTTATCAGAGCAAATATTTACTGGATCCTTGAAGCTTTAACTCTTTACACTGCATTATACATCTATTGGGACATACAAGTGCTCTCTTACAAAGTTCTTTACCTTATATTGTTGAATGGTCTTTTACAAGTGTCTTTTTTTTTTAATTTAGATGGTCTTTGTCCAAAAAGAAAAATATAGTTGAATGAGGCTAAACTCAGTCAATGATTATAATTTATACATGTTAAACAAATTTTTATGACTCTACATAATTGGTTATACAGTTATGGCACTATCAGAAGAAAAGAGAGAACTATTACGTTTGTTGCTTTTGTGGGTGAGCATGCTAAGGCAATGGAGGGGTTTTTTTATGTGCGTGCATGACTATCATATCAAGAAGGCGAAGAATTAGACACATACCTTACAAAATGGACTTTATTGTTAAGAGATCTTATCTAAAAGGATTGGTGTGTAGTAGTGATGTAGCATGTTACAACCTACTTAGAATGAATAGGACAACATTTGATAAGTTATGTTTATTACTAAGGGATGTGGGTGGTTTGAAGCCTAGTAAGAATATGCTTGTAGATGAGCAAGTTGCAATATTTTTACACATATTAGCACATCATGTGAAGAATAGAGTAATACAGTACAATTTTGGTAGATCTGGAGAAACTATTAGTAGGTATTTTAACTTAGTACTCAGTGGTATGATGAGACTTGGAGATATGTTATGGAAGAGACCAGAACCTGTGCTGGAAGATTCAAATGATGATAAGTGGAAGTGGTTCAAGGTAAATATACATGTTATATCCTCGTTATTGATTTTTAAGGATATGTGTAAAGTGTGTAATATTTATTTTCTTTGTTTCAGCGTTGTTTAGGTGCATTGGATGGAATTCACATTAAGTTGAGAGTTCCTTCTATTGACAAAGCTAGATACCGGAATAGGAACGGGGAGATTACAACAAATGTGTTAGGTGTTTGCTCACAAGACGGGTATTTCATATATGTTCTGCCTGGGTGGGAAGGATTTGCAGCAGATGGACGTGTTCTTCGTGACGCCATTAGTAGGAGGAATGGCTTGAGAGTTCCACAAGGTCATTATTACTTAGTTGATGCTGGGTATACCAATTGCGAAGGATTTCTTGCACCATACAGAGGACAAAGATATCATTTAAGTGAATGGAGAGATGGACGACATCCTAGAAATGCACGAGAGTACTTTAACATGAGGCACTCTTCTGCAAGAAATGTAATTGAGAGGTGTTTTGGAGTTTTGAAGTTAAGATGGGCTATTCTAAGAAGCCCATCGTTTTATCCTATTAGAACATACAACTGAGTAATAATTGCTTGCTGCTTATTGCACAACTTAATTCGACAAGAAGGTATAGATCCTCTAGAATATGAAGTTGAAGAAATGGAAGTTCATGTGGGCGGGGTGGAGAACCCTCCAATTCTAAACATAGATGCATCTGATGAATGGGATGCCTTTAGGAACAATCTTGCCAATGAAATGTTCAACACTTTTACTGCTAATAGAACAGCTACATGAAAGAATTACTTAATTTGGAAGTTGTTGTTGTTTTTTGGTTTGTGACTCTTTTCCATGTGTAATGTTGTAACTTTATCTATGGCATGTGTGCTATTGTAACTTTATCTATGCCTTTTGTGCTATTGTAACTTTATTTATGCTGTGATTTAGTTTATGACTCTTTGCCATGTGTACTATTGCTACTTTATGGTATGAAGCTTCTTGGTTGCATTAATTTTATGTGAGGTTCTAACGTATTTTAAATATTATAGTTGATTAAACATGTTAGACAAATCAGGAAAGTCAGATAAGCATGTGTGGACACCTGAGGAGGATGAGCTACTAATCCAGTGCATGATGATACTACATGATAAGGGTGAACTTGTTTCTGAAAATGGTCTTAGGCCTCGTGTCTTGAACCAATTACAAGACATGCTTCATGGTCTTATACCTGGATGTAGTTTAAAGGCCCATCCTCACATCCAATCTAGGATTAAGAAGCTTAAAACTAACTATGGTGTTATTTCTGACCTTCTGAAATTATCTGGTTTTGGTTGGGATAGCGAGAAGAAATGTGTGACAGCTCCAAAGGCAGTATGGGATGAGCTTATCAAGGTAAATCTAATTATTTATCATGTATGGATATCTGGTTTTGATTAGATGTAAAAAAATGGTTGGAAAATTCACTTATCTAGTTTTGCATTGTCATTTTTATGTCTATTATATTTGATTTCATGGAAATAGGTGAACAAGGATGCTGCTAGGTTTAGGAATAAGTCCTTCCCTCATTATGAAGAGCTTCATGATATCTATGGGAAGGACAGGGCAACTAGGAAGGATGCTCAAGCTTGTGAAGATGTAATTGAAGAGATAGATGATCAGAATGGTGTAGACAATTCAACATTTGAGACTAATCTTGAGGCTGACATGGATATCTCTCATGGAAATATTCCACCACCAAATAACAGTCCACTAGAAACTGAAACTGATAACTCTCCATCTGAGGCAAGTTCTGGGTTGAAAAAACGCAAGCGCAAAAGCATTGATCGTGACGATGTGCTTATCCTTGGAATGGAGAAATTTGCTAATTCATTGGCTGAAGGTTTTAACGAAGCAAGTGAGCGATTAGGAATGCATATTGACAGGGTTGATCGTGAGAAGCGCCTGGATGGGATGAGGGAGTCGCTCTATGGTGAGCTTTTGAAGGTTGAAGGACTTTCTCATCAAGAGCGTCTTTCGGCCTATGTTAAGATTATTTCTGATGAGAGCATACTAGTTGGATTCTATGCCATGCCTCAAGATGCAAAAGCAGATTTGGTCCGCCAAATAAATGCATAGGCTATGATGGATCTTTTTTTTTTTGGGATATTTCTTATTTTGATGGATCTAGCTGACATGGATATTCCTTCTTTAACAGATATTTTGTTTCAGACCTTTCTCATTTTGATGGATCTTTTGTTTAAGATATTCGATGGTTTGATAGATATTTTGTTTCGGATCCTGCTTATTTTGGTGAATATTTTATTTTAGATATTACATTGTTTGATGTGTATTTTGTCTAAAATATTCTTTATTTGATGGGTATTTTGTTTTACATATTTTGTCTAAAAAAACCCACTTTTGCTAATGTTTAATTTTTATGAGCCGTTGATTAGCAATTCTTTATTGTCATTTTTAAAGAACCCACAATTCTTTATCTTTATTGGTTGATGGAAGAAATTATGGTTCGATTGTTCTCTTTAACTCAATTCATGTGCGTGGACGAGGCAAAGTGAAATACGATGGTTTTTGAGAAGTTACTAATGATTTTTTAACTATTCAATTTAATTACTATTGATTTTTTATTACTTTTTTATATATAAATTTGCTAGAATATGATGGAAAACCATTTCTGATTTTTAAAATATTTAATTATTTATTTATTTATTGTTATAACTAGAGGCAAAATTTAATGCATTTATTTTTTGGGGTAAAAAAGTTTCCTTTTTATCCAAAAAAGAGTGCACAAGGTTGGAGTCTCAAGTCCTCAAATAGTGTAAGGGGTATTCTGGTCTTTTAATCTTATATATTTTATTATACAATAAAATGGATGTGTGTATTCCTTCCTAATATTATCTCGTACCAAGCATAAAATAAAAGCCTCATTCCCAATCCCATTACCATTACCATTCCCAATCCCAATACCATTCCCATTCCATCAAAAGCCAATCCCACCTACCAAACGAGGCCTATAGTAATAAGAGATCGTTAAGAATGGTATCAAGGTTGCCTATCATAAATCGATCGAGGAAGTATTCACCATGGCAATAAAAGCCAACTCAAGTAGGTCAATCAAACTAATTAATGAACTAGTCCTCTGGTTAGTTTGGGTAACAGTTTTGGAGAGTTAACCGAGTTGAATTTTATATTTTTTTCTCTCTTTATTGATTCAGAAATGACATCGCTTGGAGTTGTAAAGAAGTAGCAGTCTGTTAGATTAATGTTTTGGTAATTTTATTTTGTTGGATTATAGATAGTTTATACCATTTTCTTGTGAATTAATGCATTTTTATTTTGATATTATCTTTTTAAAGTTATGTTTGAATATTTTTGCATATTTTAATCATATTATATTTTTTTTAATCATGCTTGTGTTGACTTCAGTTTAACCATAACTAAACCAATGATCCTTAAATCACTTTCTCAATTAGTTTAACCAAAACTGTTTAGCTTGTTGTTATTTAGAATTCACGAAGAGAGTATTCCAAACCAAACCTTTTTCTTAGAAGACTTTAGTATCTTTTCAATAATCGATAAAAAATTACTCCTCATGTTTGAAACATCTGTAGTTTTCACTCATGCCAAGAATTATTAAATAGTCGACATTATGATAAAATTTAATGATCTTCTTATCAATATACACTTAAATATAATAATTTCAATAAAAATCTATGTTTTCAAAATAGAGGGATATATAATATGTGTAAGATAAGAGAGAAGGCGGGTTGGAGCTTTTTTTTTTTTTTTTATATGCTTCAATTTTGTAAAAGAAAAAAATTTGGTCTCTGTTCATATATTAATGAACAATTTAAGACAATATTAATCACTACTTTTCCAAACATGGCCTTTTGATAGTACCCTTAATTATTTTACAACACAAATTAATTAATACTTTTTCATAGAGATGGATTCAAAAAGTGGGAGTATATATACAAAACTTAGATCAGATTGCATATATTTATTAGGTTAAGTTTATTTAATCACATTTGTTACTTTGCTATGGGTAGTTATTAAAATGCGTATAAACACTTATAAATTTATTTATGAATACTTGTAATTTTTTTTATAATCTCTTATAATGTAAATTAGGATTTGTAAATTTTTATATAGATATTTATTGTTTTCATATTGTTAGTTATCCCATAGATATTTACTATTTTTATATTGTTAATTGTTAAAATACGTATGTACACTTGTAAATTCACATATAAATTTGATCTAATTGATATAGCAGGTTGACCTAAGTTTTGTCCTGTGAAAAGTTTAGTGTACTAAGAACTTTCTTTAATCCCTTTGCAAAAGTCTTAAATTTCATAATGAAAAACATGACATACTTAGTAGAAAGGGAAAATCACAAATAAAGACTCCTGAATTATTAAAATTACATAGAGATCGCCTGAATAAGCAACATTACCATGAGGGATCAGTCTCATATTGCAAATATGAAATCTTAGTGAAATGTTTGAAATACTCCTCAGCCAAATGACAAGTTAACTATAGGAAATGACAAATTCACTTTAGTGAATGATAATTTCAGTAAACCAAATCACAATTTAGTTGAAGGTATACCAAATGACAAATTGATTAGGGAAAATAACAAGCTTACTTTAGCGAATGACAACTTTAGTAGACCAATCACAACTTGACTGATGGGCATTTCAGACATTTTGCCGAGATTTCATATTTGCAATATGAGATTGGGTCCTTCATGGTAATTTTGATTATTCAGGTGACCTTTGTGTAATTTTGATAATTTGGGGGTTTTATTTGTCATTTTCCCTAATAGAAACCGCTGCAGTTTTGTGGGTGAGCGAAACCACTGCATATTTGCATGTACTGCTCTTGGTCCAATTTACAAGAGAAGTAAAGGTGAAATTTTCGGCCTCATTTATACAATATTTTTTGTTATTCTTTTTATAAGATCTAAATTTTTGAATTCGTTTAGTTCTTTTTATAAAATTTAATTTGAGGTTGGCTGAATATTAAATTCATTTTTATCAATTTCAGCCCTAGTTAACTGCATTATCTTTTTCTCCAGTACATTCTCTTTTATTTTTTTCTCACTATTCCTCTCTCTCCCCCCTCTATCCTCTGATATTTCATTAAAAAAGAGCTACCTTCTTCTAAATAATATAAATAAGGGCGTGTTTAAAAAAATATTTTATTACTTGTACTAATAGATATCTTAAATCATGCAATTCGGTTAATTTATATTATAAAAAGGACTGGAAGTAGTAACACATCGGATATTCGTTTTTTAAAGTTAAACAAGAACAAATTGAGGTTGATTTTTCTTTTGTAACCAAAAAAGATGATTTTTCTAAAATTTTCAGTCAGAATTAATGAATTATAAATCTCTCATTGATTGCTACAGGTGATAATGTTACTAATCAGTCCTGCCGACAAATCAAATTGTTCATATTGCATTCGGTCATTACACGCATATCTTTACATTCGTTTTTCATTAAATGCTCCATAATTTTGGTTCTGCCACTCGCAAGCCAATAATATTCTATTATTCAAACACATTATTAATGAAGCATGGGACATTATTATTATTACATGATTGATTGTCAATATCGACTTTGGGATCGCATATAGAATATATTCCGAAATTTTCTTTCATTTTTAAGAAATTTTAATTTAAAACAACGGCTGGAAGTTTTTTTTTTTTTTGCTTTCATTAACAAGAGAAAAATTCTGTTTTGTCTATTATGTGAAAAGGATTAGATATTTCAATAACGGGAAATCATTTATATGAGCATGTTCTATATAAGTCGAGACCAAACTCCTCTCACATACTTACCTTGTATTTTATAAAATATGATTAAAAAGCTACTTATAAACCATTTCAAATAGGCCTTGCTGGCAAAACATTTCATTTATTTGGAAAAAATTTAAGTTGGCTATTTACAATGAGAATTCAGTGATTTGTAACACAGATTCAATGATTTGCATTTCAAATAGAGTAAGAGTGTTTTTGTCTTCTCACACAAAAACTTTAGTCAAGGAAATGCAGTGAAATGTCAGAATTTTTTGAGGGTTAATTGATATTAATTGGTTATTGAGGGTGTTTATTGAAATTTTTCCTATATATATATAGACATACACACCATCTCTTGTCTCTAATATAAGAACTAATTAGATATTCAATTTGGTCTTAAATACATAAGACTCCAACTCACTTTGTCTCCAATATAATATTTATTCATTGCATAGCAATTCCTATATGGTACATATATTAAGGAGTTTTCATCAAGGAGTAATTTCAATGCACATGATTAATAAGGATATCTTAAGAAAGATAACATTAATTTATTAAAATAACTAACTTAACTAATTTTTTTAATATTTACAAATTAATTATCTAGCTCTTATATTAAGAACTAGAGATAATATATATTTGCAAGCCATATTTTTTTTATAGAACTATTTGATAACTATTGCTGACTAATTTTAATTCCAGCAATATGCAACCCATATGAAAGGGCAACTCTCCGGGATCGGCTTTCTTTTAGTTCTTTTTTTTTTTTTTTTGTGAGGCTAGCATCACTATCATTAAACTGAAACTCCACAGTTGGTCCCATGGATAAAGAGTTGGTCCATAACCCATAAGGTCGTGAGTTTAAATCTAGCTATTGATGTCACAACTTTGTTGGTGAGCCACATCTCTGTAAGCATTTTACAAGTTTGAAGGTGTGTCTTGACCTTAGTAAGCTCTTGAGATTTAATTCACCTAAAATTTTCTAGTATTAAAAAAAAACAAAGAAACCAAGGCCCAGACCCAAGAAAAGAAGAAAATGACAAAAAAATTAGAGATACTAGAAAGATTAAAGACATAAAACTTTCCGTCATGAACCAACATGGGTTAGGTCTAGTGGAAGGGATTGGTCCCTCACAACGTGGTGAACCAAAGTTCAAATTCTTGCTACAGTGCCTCGAATAAGATTGTCTCCAATAAAAAGATACCTATGCTTTAGGGGGGGAAAATCTTTTGGTCACGATAACAGGGGTAATTGAGGTCAAAGCACCCAGTCTGACCGGTAAGATTTATCTAATGAAGCATTAACAACCAATCAGCTACTAGATTTACTTTCTTGAGAGTCCATAGGCACAAACGGTTTCTGATTAAATTCCTTAAGACTAAAATATTCTCAAGGAGAGCAAATTCAAACACTTTTTAACGTGGTTTCGTTTAATCTATAAGAACTGAATACTTGAACTTATTTAAAAGAAACGTTTTTTCTCTCACTTTACCTAACCACTATTGATCAATCAAGCCATTTCATGCAAATAGGAATTCTATTTAAATTCCATGGGCCATTGATATTTTAAATGTAGTCAACCAGAATAAGAAAAATAAAAAGTCAGACAAAGATCAAGTTGGAATTTTATAGTGTAGCTTAGATAAGGTTTATAATTAATGGAAAACCTATTTCCCAACTCCCAACCACATGCAAACCCCTTCATAGCTCTTTTTTCACGAGCAAACCGTGTATATATATAGAGTACACGAATAGCTATCAACCATAACACATCCTTTCGTTGTAAGCAACTCATCAAAATGGCTTTCAAGTTGCCCTTTCTTCTTCTTCTTCTTGCTTTCTTTGCTCTTTCACTCCTTATCACCTTGGAGGTAGCAGCTAGGGACTTGCCTGAGTCTTCCTCTAATCATGGTGAGTTTGAGCTTTAAAATCTCTTTTGTAATTTGAGACAAAATTCTTCTTATATACTTACCTCGTAGCGCATAATCACTTAACATAAGCTAATACAAAGAGTTTATAGCAATGTTGTTGCATTGTCAACATTTCAAGTGAATAAATTTTATATTTTGTTTCAGTTTCTTCTATTGTATCATCACTTTTAATGTTCGTAGCTAAAATTTATATTTTTCTTCTTCGAGAATACACACACATTGTTACAGCATCATACATTGCTTCGTTGCCATGTCTACTTATTTTATTACGTGTAATAACATGGCATGGCTTTATAAAGCATATGAAAAAACGGTTACAGTATTTATTCTAACCATGCAAGCGTACATATACATCTGCAGCTGAGGCAGAGACAATGACACATGGAGCGGTAGATGATGCCAAATATGGTTATGGAGATTACCCAGGGCGTGGTGGTTATTATGGCGGTGGTTATCCTGGTCGTGGGGGTTATGGCGGCGGCTATCCTGGTCGCAGTGGCTACGGAGGTGGTTACCCTGGCCGCGGTGGCTATGGCGGTGGCTATCGGGGAGGATATTGCCAATATGGATGCTGTGGCGGGTGGTACGGAGGGAGCTGTAGAAGATGCTGTTATTACGCTAGTGAAGCTGTGAATGCGCAACCAAATACCGAAACTCATAACTAAGACTTAGAACTATGTGTTTCTTTTGTGTTACTATAAAAGTTTGTTTTTATGTTAGTCGTGAGACCATTAGGTGCATATGCTTGGACTCCATTCTCTCTTCTGGGAATGAAGTTTCAAGCCTTACGTACGTCAATGTGTAATGAGTGTGTCATCCGTGTTAAGTATTTGTAGTATCTGTAAAATATCTGTGAGAGATTGCTTTTAGCAATCGAAAATGGAAGATAAAATAATTGGGAGGTTTTCCTTCCTCATCACTATGCATTCACTAAAGTGTTAACTCATCGGTAATTGCATTTTATATTATAGTGATATAGTCTAATTGCGTAAGAATGGTAGTGAGATTATTAAGACTTCTGGTAATGAGGTTGACTATCATAAATGGAAGCATTTAGCATGGCATTAAAATTCAACTCAAATCGGTCAATCAAGCCAGTCAGCCAGTTGATTGACTAGTTTGGTTAACAGTTTTGGAGCAACGGCGTTGGATACATATGGTTTATATATGAATGTTCTATTGACTTATAAATAAATGCCTTTCTATTTTAATACTACCTTCAGATGTAAATGTAAGATACACCTTGTAGTATAAATTGCAGTATAAAGTAGATCTTATATTTATGATAGGAAGTAGTATTACCTTTTTGGGTTAACCAAAAAGTTCTGTTTAATTACTTTGTTGAGAATTCTCTTTGTTCCTTCTTTGATCTATATTTTTTTAAATGACTTCACCTACATAGCTGAACTACATACCCTCCTCACCAGCGCATCATTGGCCTTTTGTACATCTTCAAACCACTTCAAACAAACTTTCATCACATTTTCTTATCAATGTTTGGTCTTATTTCGACTTAAGGAGTGTTTAGGTAAAAACCAAACTATAATTTTAAAAGTAATTTTAAAGTATACAAAATAAGTATGTGAGAGGAGTTTTGTCTCGATTAGCATAAAATACATTTTAAAAGTGCTTTTTGTTTCACCCAAACACAGAGTTTGGTGAAAACTGCCCTTTGACTCTAGAGTCATTCCCCATAAATTAAGTTTAGAGTTAATCTCCTCCTCTTCTTCTTTTTTGACTTTGAATCTCTTCAGTCCATTACAAATATTATTCTTATCATTCTAATGATAATGATAATAATAAAATTAATTAGTAATATAATCATGGTATATTAAAATTAAACAAGATAATATTCTTAGCCAAATATAATCCTCTAGAGTTATTCCAGTCTAAATTACAAAATTTTCTTGACACTTTGAATGATATTTTATGTATTCGTTAAATATGGAGTCTAGACGCTTTCCAAATTTAACGAATATGAATATGGTCATTATATATACTTCACCCTAACCCATTTTATTGTGGAACACTTTTCAGAGTTTCCAAATTCAATGTTTTCTTGCCATCAAAAAAAGAAACTCAATGTTTCTTCTTTGATAATTTTTGTTTTTCTTCCCTCATTGGACAGTTTTCACCTTCCTTTTCGGACAGAGTTACAATAATAAATTGTACTACATTTTTCAGCAAAATAAATTGTACTAATTATAATTAATAAATTTTGTTCCTATTTTCTATTTTAAGGGGCACAAGATAATTGAATTATCATTTTTATGCATATTTTACGAAGTCTCATTGATTCTTATATCACTTCAGGATTCCAGCCTTGAATTAATTTTTTAAGTTTCGCTGTAATTTTTAATTTGAGTGTTATGAATATTTATTTCCATAACCATTGCATCTCCACATTGAAGCATACTAGTCATTCAATATATTTGAATTGCTGTTGCTACAAAAAAATACAGTTGAATTATTGAAAGTTATAATGTTTTTACATTTTATTTTCAAGAATTTAAACATAATATGTAAATTTTTATTATAAATAAAAAGGGGTTAAAGTAAGGGAAAATGGCAAATAAAGACCCCCAATATGTGAAATTGCAATTTGGGACCTTCAATTTGAAAAATGGAAAATAAAACTTAGTCCCATATTGCAAATATGAAATCTTGGTGAAATGTCTAAAATGTCCCTTGGCCAAGTGACAAGTTGACTGTGAGAAATAACAAGTTCACTTTAGCGAATAATAACTTCAATATACTAAATCACAACTTGACTGAAGGTATACCAAATAACAAGTTGACTATGGGAAATAACAAATTCACCTTAACGAATGACAACTTCAGTAGACCAAATCCAACTAGGCTGAGGGGTATTTTAGACATTTTACTAAGATTTCATATTTGTAATATGGGACCGGCTTTTTATTTGCCATTTTTCAAACTGAGGGTCCTAAATCCCAATTTCACATATTGGGGTCTTTATTTGCTATTTTCTCTTAAAGTAACATTTTAACAACTAAGTTTACACTCAAGGGTATTGGGCATCCTGAAATTTTTTTTGGTGCAAAAATATTCTTGAAGTTGTCAAAAGGGGACAAAAATAACAACATTGTTAACACCTGTTACTTCTCCATTAGTGGGGCTCACAAAGTCAATTTTAAAATGTATTTTTAACAACGAAGTTAATACTAATGAGTACTAGGCACCATAAAGTTTACTTGAGTGAAAATATATATATATATGAACTTTCTAAAAGAAGGGGAAAAAAATAAAAGAAGTTGATCAACTCCCACAAACATCCATTAATTTTATTCTTTTAAGTCCCACCAAATGCCACATTTTCCTCTTATCCATTCCTATTTTCAAGTCCATCCGTCTTTTTCTCATCATGGTCAACACACACTCTGTCTACCTGTCATTTTCTCTGCCTCCAAATCTTTTACGTGTATTTAACTAGGAGTCTAAAACGCCATATTTGCCTTTTAGGATACGAGATTCATTGTCTTCCTCATCAAATACCGTTAGTTTTTTCTTGCCTAAGACCCCGTCTTTTCCTTAGCATATCACTTATGCCAATGAATACTCTTTTCTTTCCTCCAGATTAACAATCTCATAATAAATGTAATATCGAGTAATAAGTAAATCCTGATTTAATTTGTATTTTAATTACAAAAATCTTAACTAAGGATGGAGCCGAAGTTGAAGAGTGAGAGTAATCTCAATTTATATTTTTAAAAGGGTCTGCAAGTATTGCATTGGATGCTCTCGAATCTTGATAGAGACAACTGCGTATTTGCCTGTAATCTTTAAGAATCAGTCCTATCGACGAAACAAGTTGTTCATATTTAATTCAGTCATAATCTACATATCTTAACATTCATTAGTATTTAAATGCTCAGTAATTAGTGTTCTGCCACTTTGGCAGCCAAGAATATTATAGTATTCAGAAACATTAATATTAACGAAGTATGGGATATCATTGATTGTATTTTGGGTGAATAACTCCCTGGCTTAGTGATCACATCATATTTGTCTTTACTTGTATTAAAAAACGGATGTTCACAGTCGCATTTTTGCATCGATTGAGATGGAACTGGAATAAGAAATGTGGTCAATTTTTTTTTGTATATAAATAATTACAGTGTTAGACTTTTATACTGATTGCCAAAATAACTGTAGTAAATATGTGGTACTTATGTTATTAAAATATAAAAACATGATAAAAATTCCATATCTGCAATACATATTTTGAGAATTCCTTCCTATAAATATGTGTGTGTGTGTGTTGCCAACTATGATGTTTGATATACCAACGCTAATTCTGCGGGGGGAAAAAAAGCTATATGTCATGCGGCAGTATCAAGGGGCGATCTGAATTTGAGTAGTTTATAGCCCCAGATGGAAGGAAATTCATCTAGCATGATTTTATCCACTGAAAAATAAGATGAAATATTGTTCAAGAAACATTGGCCCTTCTTGATATGTGTATAAATGTATGATAAACTTTTTTAATATAGCAATACAAGTGTTTGCAAGCCATATTTTATATATATATAACTATTTTATATTTATTTTTATTACTGAAAATTTGTATTCAAGCAATATTATATTGGACCTTATTTAATACGTGTTGTATCTTTTCTGTTTGAATTTCATCGCAGTTAATTAATCTTGTCCATATTACCACCTATAATAATGCGAAAAAGTCAGAAGAAGATCAAGTTGGAATTGTATAGAATAGCTTAGATAAGGTTTATAATTAATATGGAAAACCTACTTCTTATAACTCCCAACTGCACAGGCCCCTCCTCTGATCTTTCCTGCAAGCAACTACACTTTTACACATATCCTTCCCTTCTAAGCATAACTCAACAATGGCTTCTAAGTTGGCCTTTCTTCTGCTTTTTCTCTTTTCTCTTTCACTCATTATCTCTTCGGAGGTCACAGCTACAGACTTGCCTAAGTCTTCCTCTAGCCATTGTGAGTTCAATCCCTTTGTTTTGTATTACTACATGTAATATCAATATTTCAAAAGATATGTTATATGATTGCTTCTGATATAGGAGTTACTTGGGGTTAGATTTGATTCTAATTAATATGAGACCTCAATTCATTTTATCTCTTGTGCTTATCATTTCGTTTGAAACTAATTTACCTAACATATAAATTGATGTGTGTGTAATGTTACACATGGGTATTTTAGGGGAATAGGGTCACATTTATTATAATTTACTAATTTATTTAACTTCCTCAATATACCCAAATTAATTAAATATATCTTATATTAAGGATCATAGCAAGTATTATTTTGGTGATTTTTTTTTTTTTGTTATGATGGTGCGATTTACTTTGAAATCCTACATTTCCCAATATTCAGCTATACGAAAGCTTAATTAATCATAAAGAAATGTATAATTTCTTTTTACAATTTTACTTGTTTTATTAAAATATACTATCGCTTCACAAATCATGTCACTCTTCCTATGATTTTGTTCATGTTCAAAGGAAAACATTTCTTCATTTTATATATTTGCAGCTGAAGTAAAGACAAAAAACCATGGAGAGGTGGATGATGCAAAATATGGTTATGGAAGTTACCCCTGTCGCAACGGCTATGGTGGTGGTTATCCTGGCCGTGGTGGTTATGGTGGTGGTCACCCAGGTCGTG